ATACTAGGTACTGGAATTATAGTAATGAACAAGATAATGATCCTACATATGTGGAGCTCACAATCTGGTAAATAGTCCAGACACAAAACACAAGGGAGTTACCTCACTGATAATGTCTATATTGGGCAAATTACAGAGCATTAAGGGAATGCCTGGACTTGGAGGGGCATTGAAGGTTTCTTTGAGGACATGTGAAACTAAAATTGAACAGAAAGAAATCTCAAATGGACATTAATGATTTAGCCACAGTATTCCTTTTTTCTCTCAGAAAAATGCACTCAACTTTTTTGAAAGCAATCTCCTAAAACATAAGTAAAAGCTCTTTTTTTGTTTGTTTGTTTGTTTTGGGTTTTTTGGAGACAGAGTCTTGCTCTGTTGCCCAGGCTAGAGTGCCATGGTGTCAGCCTAGCTCACAGCATCCTCAAACTCCTGGGCTCAAGCAATCCTTCTGTCTCAGCTTCCTGATTAGCTGGGACTACAGGCATACGCCACCATGCCCGGCTAATTTTTTCTATATATTTTTAGTTGCCCAATTAATTTCTTTCTATTTTTAGTAGAGATGAGTTCTCGCTCTTGCTCAGGCTGGTTTTGAACTCCTGACCTTGAGCAGTCCTCCCACCTCGACCTCCCAGAGTGCTAGGATTATAGGCGTGAGCCACTTTACCCAGCCTAAAAGCTCTTCTGATAAGCTAAAGTATTTAGATTTTAGAATTTTGGAGCAGAAACGGGTTGCTTTGGCACCAACTCCTTTATAACTCTGCAAAGGGTAAGAAACACAAGATTCTCAGAGTGCACCAATGGATCAGGAATGGACTCCTCACACAACCCCTCTTGTTCCGTAAGAAAGTTTCCACGAAGATTACATCTCTGTGTTCCCTACCTTTTTGTTTTGTTTTGTTTTTGAGGAAAGGGTTTATTATGTACCTAATACATGCCTAATATTTTTATCAGATCTCAGGGCTTTCACATATGTTTATATATCCCCTGACAGAGGCCAAATAGAGAAAAGAAAAATGGCTGTGGCAAGCTATTAAGAACCAACACTGAAATTATGGCTGGCATCTGTTCACCCTGACCTAATTAATCTGTCTATTGAAGGATAGAAAAATTACTGTTTTAAGTGGCCCCCATTCATTTGGAAAACTTAGATGTGCTCCTGTAGATACATTATTTCTCACGTGGATGTTTCCCCATTAGATCCTGCTGATTGCTTTAATTTTGCTCCTTAGCAGAAATAATACTTCCACTTCTTTTGTATAGCTTTCTTTTTATAAGCCACATGATGTCCATTATTCCCAAAGAGCTTCTGGAAGAATTAATTCTTCCTTGCATTGAAGGAAGAATTGAGAAGCAAACAGTAAGAGGTCTTCTAAACTGATACTCTTTTTCTCATCCTTGTTAAGAATGATTTTAAGATGTTATTCATTATATCGATTTTTTTTTCTGAGATGGATTTAGTGACCTGGCATATACCTCAGTGTTAAACTCCAGTTTAAAAAATTAATGACAAAAGGAACAAACAGATCACCAGAGTTAAAGAACACAGAATTTGTTGTAAAACACAAAAGAAAAAATTATCTAAGGTGTTCAAACATATGAAATATTTTAAAGGTACTGAATATTTTATTTTATGGGTGCTACTTTCATCAAGTTAGTTCTTTGTGCTCCTTATTTCCATAACAGGCAAATTATTCTTTTATTAACAGCATTCACCCTTATGTGACATTTTGAACTATAATTACTAGTTTTTCTTGTCCATCTCCTCCACTAGACTGTGTGCTGTTTGTCTTTTGTTTATGCCTGGCATAGAGTAGGCACTTGATTAATGTTAGAATGAATGTGCAGTAGTAAGTTAATGTGGCTCCCATTAGTGAGAGAGAGTTATTTTAGTTTATATCAGACCCTGGGCATTTTATCAGATGTTTTACATTAAAAAGTATCAGCTGAATTTGGGCTACTAATAGGAAAAAATAAAATATATAATCTTATATACTCAAGAAACTTAAGCATGGGTAGATAATGACTGCATTGGACTAAAGAGGTCTAGTGGCATATAAATATTTTAGCATAAAAATAAGATTTATATGCTTATAATTCTGTTTATCTACACTATCTAAAAATGTTGATATTTGTGCATGTAGCTTGCATGTATAGCTACGAACCAATGCTTTGCTTTGATATATTACATTTAAGTGAAATCTTTCTTACCCATTTTATGATTATTCTAGGGAGCTGTTGGTAGAATTTATTCTTTAATGTGTGTATGTAAACATATTTAAATGTATATGATGTGACTCACATTTCCATAAAGGATTTCTGAGAGCTTAATATATGTTAATTTTTTGGCTGTAATTTTCTACAGGTGAAGGCTGTCAGTGGAATGTGACAAATATGAACACAGACTTGTATTTTAAACCAACGGTGGTAAAGGAAAATAAATTCTTTCCTTCATTCTTTAGTTACACATTATCAGCACAGTGTAGGTTTTTGCTCAGTTCAAGTTTAATAGGAGGAACTAGGAAAGATAAATGGGCTGGTGCCCCACTTGTGGTAGGTACCTGGTTCACACCAGATGGCCTGCCCCACAGGCTGTTCCTACCCAGGGGAGGAAGGCTGGCCTCCTTGTCCCCTGTAGGAAAGTCCTTTTCCGTCCCATGCTATAGCTTGGCTGAATCCAAAACTGTGTTTTAAGCATGGAAAAAGTCTCAACGAGGTTTTGTCCTCATGGCTTCCCACTGCAGTCTAGCACTATGCAATCTAGTTTTTTTTTTTTTGTATCATCTGTGTTCATATCAGTTTTCTTCTGTTGGCTGGCCAGATGCCAACTTCTTTTTAGTTTCAGAACTGAGAATTTCTCTTGTGCAGACTGGGGGGCCTCCAGTGGGCCTGTAGTGCTGCCTGCAGGCAGGTCACAGATCCTTCCCCACGATCCCAGATTGCAATTTCACATCTTTTCTCTCTCCATCAACCTACTACACCTCCTCCCCGAACCTCACTCTCAGCTGATGACTTTGCTTCAGTTTTCTCAGTAGAGTAAGAAGCAGTCAGGTGTGTGTCCTGCCTCCTCACTTCCTTTGCTGCAGAGGGCTGACCGTGGCCCCATCTAGGTCCCTTTACCTGCACACGATCCCATCCACTCCTAACTACAAAGGGACACAGCCCTAGCAATTCTACCCTTTCTTTCTTGAGTCACAGTTTTTTTTTACCTGCCTCTTGAGTCATTTCAACAACATAGTAACTTGCTATTGTTTGTTTCATCTTAAAAAAACAAGCTCTCTGGACCACTATGCCACTTCCTCCTCCTGCCAGCTTCCTGTTACTATGCCCTCCTTCGCAGTCCAAACTCTTTGAACTTGTTGTGTGTACTCAGTGTCTCCAACTCTTCTATCCTCTGTTAAACTCACTGCCATCAGACTCTCTCCCAACCACTCCACCAAAACTCTTCTGTGGAGATCCCAATGATCTTCATGTTGTTAAACTCAGTGGTCACCTCTTAATCTTCATCTTACCTAGCCAGTAACATCGACACCCATCTGACTGCTCCCTCTCCCTGGAAACACTTTCTTGACTTGGTTTCCAGCACGCTGCAAACCACTCCCCCTCTAAGCTTGTCCACCATCTTACGCTCTTCCCTGCCGGAGTTAGTGTTAACCCTTATCCTTTCAGCGGCTCAAGCCAAAAACGCTGCACCATCATAATTTTCTCTGTTCCCTCATATCCCTGCGTCCAGCTCACTGATCCCAGCTCACTGTCTCCACTCCTGACACCTTTGTACAAGCCACCCTCATCTCTTGCCTGGAGTAGCAATAGTCTCCAAATAAACTGCTCTCTAGCCTTGCCCTTTTACAGTCTAGCCTTACTTAGCGCAGTGTGAGCCTGTTAAAGCATAAAAGTAGTGTTGTGGCAATCCTCTGCTCAAGTCATCCAGTGGTTTCCCATCTCAGAGTAAAGCCAATTTTCTTACCTATGACTGACAAGGCCCTACACGATCAGATCTGCTTCCCTTTACCTTTGTAGTCTCCTCTTCTACAGTGACTCTCCCCCCTCTCTCACTGTGTTCCAGGACTTCTAGCTTTTCCTTGTGAACATGCCAAGCCTGATCTTTCCACAGGGCTTTTGCACATTTTGGCATTGCAAAAAAGTCCATCATTTGGGTCACTTAAGTACTATGATCTGAGTTATCTACGTTATATCTAGTTCACTATCTTCTCCCTAGAACATTGTTTTCTAACTCTACATTGAGATTTATTTTTATTCCGATAAAAAGCTAAATGATGATTGGGAAGACTTAAGGAAGTACTGCTCTAGTACTAGAGCAATGTGGTTTTATTATTGGGAATGGAGTACTTTTTAAAGAAAGAAGCTATATAGCCCAAACAGGTAAAAAAAAATAGGGCCTATTTATGCCCCAAATCCTAAAAGATGGTTCTTCTTGTCACCACTGGGATAAATGGATGAATGTACTTCCTGAGATAGATCCAAATTCTATAGGGTCTGAAGCTAACATGGTGGAATATGAAATTGAGAATATAACATTGAGACTATACATTTAGGTACAGGGCCCTGGGAGGGCCCTGAAGCTTGGTAAAGAGAAGTCATGCCCAAGGTCACAGGGCTGGGGACTGGAGTTGCTAGGAGAGGACAGAATGGAAAAGAACACTTACCTGGGAGCAGAGGCCTCCATCAACCCCATCTTTGCTACCCATCCGTTGGGAACCTGGAGAGAAAAAAATTGCTTCCCTTTGCATGTATTATACATCTCTGATTTCAGCCCTAAAACAGGAATATTGACGCCTGCCATAAACCTTTCACACTGTTGTTCTGAACTCAAGAGAAAGTGTGTAAAAGTAAAGTGCTTCGAAATGTAGTGTGATATTAAAAACAGCTTTCTATTCTACCTCTATACTGTCGTTGAAGCTTAAAAATTTATTTAATTTTGCTTTTTATTTCACTTCTAATGTTTCTAATTTATTTCTTGGATATGATTTTTTTTTTTTCAGGTTACTTGTCTGCAAGACTTTTTTGGTGATGATGACGTTTTTATCGCATGTGGACCTGAAAAATTCCGTTATGCCCAAGATGACTTTGTCCTGGATCACAGTGGTAAGGCAGTTCATTGACCATCTTCGTAACTTTAACGTTAAAGAAAGATGGCATTGGCACTACTCTTTTTGACCTAAAGAAAAAAAAAAACCAGGATAACATGAAAGCATTTGCCTAGTTATTTAAAAAAAAAAAAAAAAAGGAAAACCCAACACCTAATTAAAGTGTTGACAACACCTAATTCACGTGTTGAAACTGCAGGGGGGGAGGGTTGGTCTAGGTCAGTTTGCTTGTTGCACAAAGATTCAATTATTGAGACTAGAGTTGCCAAGGAAGAAAGGAATTTTTAATAGGACAGACATCTTGTCGAGAGAATGGGAGGGGCAGCCTCAAATCTGTTTCTCTGACTAAAGATCATGAACTTTTAAAAGAGGGGACATGAACAAGGGGCTACAGGTATTGGGGGCAGATTGTGGGCGATGGTGAATCTTGGCATCAGGAACTGTGCCCAGGGGCTTTCAAAATCTCAGCTCCTTTGTCTTGCAGAAAACCCACCTTTTCTTGGAAATAACTCAAAACATCCTGTAGTCAGTTAAGGGAGAGGATTATTAAAAATAAAATAGAGATCATTGAAATTTGTTCATGGGGCCAATTATACAAGTAGTTGTAATTTTTAGCAGTTCAGTTCCATTTCTTCTTATTGCATTCTTTTGCCTCTGAAATGTCTTGCACCCTCCTTCAGAACCACCTTAAATGCATGGATCCCGTTGAGCCTGAAACAATTAGTTGTCCATTTTTCATGAGGTGTGTGCATAAAGAAATAATTGATAAGATAATAACTAAATTGTTAATGTTAATTATCTGAAGTTTCTTTTAACCTCATTGTTTTTGTTTGCAACTTTTTAAAAATAACACGCATTGTTTATATAGTCACATACTGCATAATGACATTTTGGTCAACGACAGACTGTATATACAATGGTGGTCCCATAAAGTACCATATTTTTACCACACCTTTTCTATGTTTGGATGTGTTTAAGTACACAAATACTTACCACTGTCTTATAATTGTCTACAGTATCCAGTACGGTCACTTGCTGTACAGGCAGGCTTATAGCCTAGGAACAATACGCTGTACCATATAGCCTAGATGTGTAGTGGACTGTACCATCTAGGTTTATGTGAGTACACTCTGTCATGTTCACATAATGGTGAAATTCTCTAATGATGGCATTTCTTAGAAGATATCCTTGTCGTTAAGTGACATATGATTGCACTGAGAAAAATAAATAGTCATAGGAGGAATAAAAAAATCCTCTTTTCTTGATTTTAGATAATATATACGGTGCTCAATTATTTAGCAGTAATCTTAGTGATTTCAAATGTTATTCTGGGAGTATTGCTTTACCCTGTTGTCTTAAATTCCCTTAAACCTATTTCAGTAATAGTGGTTACTTTAGCTGATCGTGAAATCAATTTCAGCTTTAAGTGAGGTAAAATTATACACACATGAAACATTTCACAGAGGAGCAGGATCTTAGAAGTATAGTCCTGCTCTTTAATTTTATAGATGAGGAAAGTTGGCTTTTAAAAAGTTAGATGGATGGTAGGCCACTTGCAGTTGTAGTGGTTCTGATAGTCCAGAATTAGAGAAATATATTACCAAATAAATACAGTGATGTCAGGTTTTAGTCTGAAATGTCGGTTCTTAGTGCGCTCGTGGCCAAAGAATGACCAGACACGCCATAGTAAGGCAAGCACGAAAATGAGGTTTATGGAGGAGAGAAAGATAGGATTACAGAGAAAGATACAGGTTTACAGAGTATAACGCATATGCCACAGATGATGACCGGACCCATTGTTACAATAAAGGGAGAGCAAAAGGAAGGGCAAAGGGATTTGGTTATGGTCTATGACTTATTTTATAGTGCCCAGATTGGGACTTCCCTTTGGCTCAGAGGTCACCATGGGACCATTTTGATTGGACAGTTGGAGTTGCATGGCCTGAGTCTTAACTACACATGGGGGTTGTTCTAGGTCAATTTCTGGACTCTGTGGTACCTGTGCTGCTTGGCCCATGAGCTAGAGAGTCCTTTGCATTCTTTTGTAGCTGGTTTACTAAGTTATGATTGGCCATTCATAGGTTATTCCCTCCTCCCCCAGGTATGGCAGTCCCTTGGGAAAGGGTTAGGATGGAGTAGGACCAAGATTGGGGGTCCACCCTTGTGCTCCTTCCCAGGTGGGGCAATTGCACCACAGCACCCACTTTTGTCCCTAGGAGACCCAGCATCCCTTGCTATCTACCTAATACATAGGCTTTTAGAAAATCTGAGATGCTATAGTCTATGGTACCAAACTTCTTTGTGTAATTCTTTCCCGTTACATTACATCAGTTACCCATGTGTTTGGGGCTCATTTATCTACTGGTAACACCACTAGAAAGTCCTTAATTGTAAATAATGTCTTTTTGTATTATCTGTGCTAATGCTTTCTCTCATTCCTGTGGGGTTCAGGTTAAATGAAATATGCATATTATCTGTATTTTACATCTAAATTTTTAGATTTAGTTTCATAATATAACTTTGATATCATTAGTCATTTTGGAAGTTGAGACAGTGAAACTAATTATGTTCCAGGTTGTAAAGTTAATTGGAATAATAATAACGTAGGGAAGCCAAGGGATAAGGCATATACATTTTTTGAACACATATGTATGGGGAGAATCCCAGTGATTGCCCATCCCCCAAAAGGGTGCTTGCTGAAGTTTAACCTGGCCAAACAGGTTATGGGACTGGGGAGAGAAGAGTTCTGCTGAGGGGCAATAAAGGATTGCTTGGGAGAATGAATGGATCTGGGAACAGAGTTAACTTGTAAATAGTTCTCTTTGACAGTGAAAGGGTCTGTTCAGGTGTGATTACCTTCTTGGTCTTACAGGGGAGGGAAGACAAAACAGTTGTTCTCTCGGGTGGGTCTGGATCTTAGGCAGAAAAAGGAACTTCAGCTTCTTTAAGAAAGACAGGGAGGAGGTCAGAGACATCTTGAGGCTTCTTCAGCTCCTTATGTCTAAGTGCCATCTTTTGGGTATTGTTTTCTGAGCCACAAAGACAATAATAAACCATTTGTTGAGCACTTCATCGTACTTGGTGCTTAATGTGTATGTCATACATTTACCTAAACTGGTTGGATCATTTGCAGTTTTTGGTGGTGATGATTGATGGCCTCCAGTAGTTAGAGGTTGGCGAGAGCTATTCTTCCCTTTTGATCTCTAGTCACTTAATCTTCTGCAAAGTGGAAATAATAATGGCTATTTTATAAGGTTTTGTGAGGATTATATGAATTAACATAATGTCATGCAGTTAGAAGGGTGCCTATTGCATAGTATGTGTCTACTGCTATATCGTTATTCTTGTTAATAATGTTATTATGCCACCACCATTACATAGTAAAATTTTACAGTTGATAGCAAGTCTCAGACCTAATTCTGTCACAGGTACATTTATTAGGGAGGCAAAGATTTCTAAAAAATCAGTTTTTTAACAGGTATTGTGATTTATTTATTTATTTTTTTTGAGACAGAGTCTCACTTTGTTGCCCAGGCTAGAGTGAGTGCCGTGGCATCAGCCTAGCTCACAGCAACCTCAAACTCCTGGGCTCAAGCAATCCTCCTGCCTCAGCCTCCCGAGTAGCTGGGACTACAGGCATGTGCCACCATGCCTGGCTAATTTTTTTTTTTGTGTGTGTATATATATATATATATATTTTGTTTGTTTGTTTTGTTTGTTTTGTTTTTTTTTTTTAGTTGGTCAATTAATTTCTTTCTATTTTTAGTAGAGACGGGGTCTGGCTCAGGCTGGTTCGAACTCCAGACCTTGAGCAGTCCTCCCACCTCGGCCTCCCAGAGTGCTAGGATTACAGGCGTGAGCCACCACGCATGGCTGTATTGTGATCTTGATGAATTCAAGTCCCTCTCTGTCCTTTTAGGCTTCTGACGACATCTTGGATTAAATATCCATTCAAAATCCACAGAATTCAGCTAACCTAATCTTAAGTCATATAACAAAACCATCTATTCAAAGCTGAATGCAGGACTAGCTCCAATTCCTCAACCTAGGGGGTAGTTCTGAAGTTCTAAATTATTAGCTCTTTGTTTACCAATCCTGCTCATAACAGTGGCAGTGCCTTTAAGATGTTTCTAACTAATCCACCACACCACGCTTTTCAACAGTGGATACTTTCTATTTCAACAGTGGATACTTTCTAACATCCACAATGCTAATCAAGCAGAAGTTGCTTCCTTTGTGTGAGGTTTTGATTAGGGTCTTTGACATGCTAACTAGCTGCCCCTGGTGTGTACTTTCCTGATTAGTGTACTTCACATGTCAATTTACTGCCCCTGGGGTATAGATTAAAACTAACCTACATTTTAATCTTCCTGTATAAATTGCAGCATTTTAAGAGTAAATTACAGACAATATGTTATCTAACTTAATCCTTATAACAAGCATACGAAGCAAATTTTAATCTTTCCCAATTTGATAGGGAAGAAAAACATGCTTAGAATCTAACCAAGGTATACTCCACTTAGCAAATGTCAAATCGGTGATGCATCCAAAATCTGCATGACTCCAAAACCTAAGTTCTTAGTTATTCAAATTAGAAGCAATTATTTTTAGCTATAATTACTGCTGGTACTCTAAACACTGTTTTATTTGGTCATTTAGGGAAAGACCAGTGATTGTTTAAAGATAGCTTCCTCATTTTTTTTATGCTTCATACTTTGGGATGATGGAAAATAAGACGGTAAGGGATTCATAAGTTAGAGTCTCATTCCTTTTCAAAATAAGATAATCAAGAAGTTGGAGAAGATAATAAGATTGTAGTCTTTGCCTATCAATGCTACTGATTAACAAAGAAAAGTTGCACGTGTATAGATTATAGATTACGGTGCATGGTGTGTGTCAAATTAAGACATTGGGATTTCTGTGTTCATTGAGAACTCCAGCTGGAACAATGAGGTGATGTCATAGGTGTGTAGCCTGAATGAAGGTAACCTCAGATGTACTTTTGGGATCCTTGCTTTGTACATTCAATTAACAATAATAGAGAAATGATCAGGTGATGGTTCTAGGCTATAAACCACAGTCACGTGTAATCTCCCTTTGGTCAGTATTAACACCAGATCTATTTAACGCACTTTTGTTCCCTTCTAGAATGCCGTGTCCTGAAGTCATCTTATTCTAGATCCTCCGCTGTTAAGTATTCTGGATCCAAAAGCCCTGGGCCCTCTCGACGCAGCAAATCACCAGCTTCAGGTAGTTAATGGAAAAGAAATGGATGGTCATAGAAGGCACAGATCATTTTCCTTCAGTTTTCTTTAATTATTATGAACTAAAAGTCTTTGCCAGGCTCATGTCCAGCCAGATTCTAGAATAACATATAGAAAATATGACTTTTGAAACGAAAAAGTTGTCTGTTTCCCAAAGTTATAATAATTCTTCTGAGAGACCTCTGTGTTTTTGTTGACACATTTTCTTGAGAGCAGTGTGATTATCTAGAGTCTTCCAGTATTTACATAGAAGTGTTTCACATTTTGATCACTGTATACTGCATTTTGAATTTTGTGCTATATGATTGTAGGTACTTATTTTCTTAATATTAATTCTTGTTTTAAAATACACACTCCACACAGACGTGTATTTACTTGACAAATTTCCACTGGCTTTTCCTTCATCAAGCAGCACAATAGTAGCAACAATTATTGTTGAAACGTAGTACTCACTTAAGAGTCAGGCTTACCTGTAATTAAATTTCTTTCAGGTCTTAAGCCCATAGACTTATCATAATTTGGACTGTTTAGGCATTTTTATTTTTTATTTTTTTGAGACAGAGTCTCACTCTGTTGCCTGGGTTAGAGTGCCGTGGCGTCAGCCTAGCTCACAGTAACCTCAAACTCCTGGGCTCAAGCGATCTTCCTGCCTCAACCTCCCAAGTAGCTGGGACTACAGGCATGAGCCACCATGCCCGGCTAATTTTTTCTATATGTTTTTAGTTAGCCAGTTAATTTCTTTCTATTTTTAGTAGAAACGGGGTCTCGTGCTTGCTCCGGCTGGTTTTGAACTCCTGACCCTGAGCTATCCTCCCACCTCGGCCTCCCAGAGTGCTAGGATTATAGGCGTGAGCCACCGTGCCTGGCCAGGCATTTTTAAAAATTAAAAGCATAAATATCTCAAAATATTCTATGGGTTTGTTTTTAGTAATTAAGAATAAATTTATTAATATTTCCCATTAAAGAGAAAATTGTGAAAAACCATGATTTTGCAGGTGGGGAATCTAGAATGTATGAAAGTATTATCAATGAAAACTGTCTCGAGCATTAGCCTTTCTAAGAGAACAAGTTTTTTGGACATTCCACTTTTCACCCCTTGCCTTCCATACCTACCCACTTTCTTTAGGGCAGGTTGTTTTACCCTTCTTTTGTGTACACATTTAGACCTGCTGAATAACCACTCTCCTTACTGTCTTCTGCTTTGTATATACTGCATGTGTACAGTAAAGAGGGGTGGCCACTACTCCAGTGCCTATGCTACAGCCAAATCCCCAGGTGAGCCATGATTATTATGGCTTTGTCGCTCTGCTGGGTTTTTGTTTTTGTCTTTTGCCACATTTCTGTTTCCTTTTGCTCCATTTCCATGAATGCATCTGGCTTATTCCAGCGCACATCTGTGTAGAATGACATGCTTCACAATGCATAGGATACTTCTGCCTCTTGTATTTGTTACAGGACTGGTGATCATCAGATTGCCAAGTGCATGTCTGTTATAGTCAAAAATACAAAGTGGTTGAGGAGGCACATTGCCTCAAGGAGTCCATCTTCTAGTTAATTTTTGGAAAATCTGTCACTGAAAAAGGCTGCAGTTCTTTGGAAACACAAAAATGTCAACAGAAGGAATTGTACTTTTCTGTCCTTATCTCCCTCCCCCGACCCTGGAGCTAAGTGGGAGTATGTCGGTGAGTGGGGAGTGAGGAATCTTTAAACTCTAAGCATTCAAAGTACTTTATAATAGCATAGGCTGGAGTAGGATTAGGAGGTGTTTCTGGTACATACAAGGAGGTAGCACTGCAGTCTTTCTAGTTTGTCAAACAACTGTTTCCCCAAAGTTACAGGCTAAACATACTTCCTCTAAAAATATGACAATTGACAACATAACATGCATATTTTTAACAGTTCCCCTTATTTCAAATTTTATTATGCTCTCTGTAAAGTATCTTAAAACTGGAAAACCTAATATGAAGTTTGCATAAATGCACTGTCCATGGCTAATCGTATGGTAGATGTAGATTTTTGCCAGGTTGCCGGCTATTGTTTTTGCTGATAGCTTTACAGATGCTTATCACATCAGGGAAATGATTAACTAAAAGTGAGGAGAAATGGTTCAGGAATCAAGTATGATTAATTGAGATCCAAAGAGGAAAATTAGCATATTGAACTAAAAACATGTATTATAGCCACATTTCTTCTACAGACCAACTGTTCCATAATGCGGCCTAATAAATGTATGAATAATTCTTCTTAATGTGAATTTGGAATGCTTAGAAATTGATTAAGAAAAATCATAGCATTTCAGTATACAAAAGTTTTAACTGAATACATGTTTGTTTTGTTTTTGAGACAAGAGTCTTGCTCTGTTGCCCTGGGCTGGAGGGCTAGGGTGCAGTGGCATCAGCCTAGCTCACAGCAACCTCAGACTCCTGGGCTCAAATGATCCTCTTGCCTCAGACTCCCAAGTAGCTGGGACTACAGACGTGTGCTACTGCGCCTGGCTAATTTTTTCTATTTTTAGTAGAGATGGGGTCTCTCTCTTGCTCAGGCTGTTCTCAAACTCCTGAGCTCAAATGATGCTCCTGCCTCGGCCTCCCAGAGTGCTAGGATTACATGCGTGAGCCACCGTGCCTGGCCCAACTGACTATATATTTGGATTTGGGTTAGTAGAGTAAGCCCCAAGTTCATTAAGGTTGTGAGATTTTAAAATCACATTTCAGAGAGCAAATGGTCGTCTTTAAGTGTGTTCTGAACTTACTGCAGTCATAGAAAACTGAAAGCCTGAGTCAACTGCTGGGACTTGAGTGTGATTCTGAAGAAAGCTATTCTATTTTTCTATATAGTGTTTTCTTTCTTCCACCAGGAAGGAGGGAGCTTTGTATTATTAAAGCTACAGTACCCAGCAACAGTATTGCTTTTACAGACTCTGCTTTAGCATGTGGAGTACCTGTTACCATTTAAAAACTCCCATGGGGACTAATGGGAATTTCAAATAGAGCTCATAACTTTGTAAACATAATGTACTTTTTCAATCTTGAGACACAGAAGTACTGCTGTGGGTGAAGTCTTCTCATTGACTATATCGTTCACCAGAACTTATCAAAATAGCTAATAGTATGTAATAAACACATAGATGTTAAGCTGGGCAACATAAATGTGTAAATGGTTGTCATAGTTTGAGTCTTAAGTTTTTGTTTTAGGTTTTTAGCTTGTGAATCTTTCATAGTCTGCCAAGATAAAAAGTACTTGGAACAAACAAACAAAAAGTCCCCAAGTTTATGTCTTCCCTTGGAGTTGAGAGTAGGGAGATAAAATGCAGGGGGAGAAAAATGCAGGGTGTAGTGGCGGGGAAGGTGCTGGCTGCCTGTTGCACACCTGGCGCGTGGCAGCAGCCAGCAGTGGGGCAGTGGGCACCACTTGGCCCTGTCCAGGGTCCCCTTCAGACTCTCCAAACTGGAGAAATGTGCAAGTGAAACTAAGAGCTACTCATTAGAGAACATTTTTTAGAACCTTCCCCATGATACCCAAAACTACATGTGATTAGTGTCTCTTTAGGATGAAAGTTATTTTGGGGAAAATACAGACATGTAGTTATTGACACACGTTAAATTCCTGGCAGTGAGTTTCGTTAAGAAACTATCCTTAGGCAGGACTGTATCTTCAGGAAGACTGGTTTGCTACATAGATCACCATCTGCAGGAACTGATTTTTCTTCTTTAGTCTCTTTTTTGTCACCAATTCCAAGGGAGCCTTTGCCATGAATGCGCCATCCAGAATACCAGTGAAAGCTAACAGTACTTACTGATTAGGAACTGGTTACCTATGCAGGTTGCTGTGTGGGATGGAGGGGGAAAAAAAAGGAAATCAGTCCTAGCTCACAGCAAGCTTACTAGTTTATTGCCCATAATAATCTATATATATATTTTTAAAGAGATAGGGTCGTGATCTGTCACCCAGGCTGGAGTACAGTGATATAGTCATAGCTTACTGCAACCTTGAACATCAGGGCTCAAGCAATCCTTCTGCCTCAGCCTCTCAAGAAGCTAGGACTCCAGGCATGTGTCACTGTGCCTGACTAATTTTTAAATTTTTTTTTTTTTTAGGCATAGGGTCTCGCTATGTTGTCCAGGCTAGTCTTGATCTCTTGGCCTCAAGTGATCCTCTTGCCTTGGCCTCGCAGAGTGCTGGCAGGTGTCAGCTGCCGTGCCTGGCCAGTAATCTCTGTTTTATGTGCATCTCTTTTAAAGAGACTTTTAAGAAGACTTTGTGTTTTAGAGCAGTTTTAGGTTCACAGCCAAACTGAATGGAAGATACAAATTTGCTATGTACCTCCTTTCCCTAAACATGCATAGCCTCTTCTGTCAACATACCCCATTAGAGCGATACATTTGTAACAGCTGATGAATCTACATTAACACGTCATTGTCACCCAAGGGGCATCACATTAGGGTTCTCTCTTACTGTTATACATTTGATGGGTTTGGACAAAATTGTAATGACATATATCCACCATTATAGTATCGTAAAGAGTAGTTTCACTGCCCTAAAATTCCTTTGTGCTCTACCTTTCAAAGAAATTTTTTAAAAGAAATAACAATTAAAATTTCACTTAATTGAGAAATAACCAGAGCTTTTCAGTACTCTTACATGTTTTTAATTATGTGTTTTACTTATATTCTGAGTACCCACATATATTTGTTAAGAAAATCTAGATAACTGACCATTATTTTTGAATAAGTGGTTTTGAGTCAGAAACATTGAAGTTTGGCAATTTAAAAATTACTGAAAATTTCTTTATCTTCACTGAATTTTTTAAATGAACAATATAATAAACTAACATGACTTTATAAGCCCAGATATCCCCATTTAGAGATGATTCATCTGATCATTAATATTTGCTGATCCGGGATTTCTGCCTTTGCTCTAGGACAGGTGCTCACTTTTTTGAGTTACCTATTCAGGACCTTTACCTCTGCATTTGGCTTTTTATACTTATTGTCATCATTTAAAATAATAGTTCTCTGCTCCCTCACATTAAAAAAGGAAAAAGCAAAAGAACTTAACTTTTCTTTCTATAAAGATGAATGGCAGTTTCATCTACTCTGGGCAAAAGCTTTGAAGATTAATAGTATAAGAAATTACAAATACTCTTTAGAGGAGAAAAACATATACCAGTACTAGGTGTTAGCTACCAGCTTTGTGAAATCACTACAGAAATGGATGGCAGTGATACAATTAGGAGTAAGCATAGTAAGTCAGTCTAAAATGTTTGATCAGCATTCTGTTGTGGTATTGATGCGGAAAATGTCGGGTGCGGGGATGCGGCCGCTTGCCGCCACCCTGTAGCTCCGCATCTCCTCCGGTGGCCAGTTGGAGGGCATGCTGCTGGGGCCAGCCCCTGGCAGAGAGCCACTGGGACCCTGCGTGCTGGAATGCCCCCATGCCCACGTGCCATTGCCTGTTTCCGGCCACGCTGCTTGCGTGATCCTGATTGGGTGATTTTTGAATCCCACTGTTTTTGATTGGATGTTAAAGCTTGTTGTTGATTGATTGGACGCTTCTTGAGCCCTACCAAGGGTATAAAAGCAGGAGCAGAAGGGGGCGGAAGGGTCAGAACATGGGAAGATAGGAAGAGAGCTGTAACACTAGGTGTGCTGACCCTGCTGGGAAGGAATAAAGGCTGTTCTCCAACTCTTTCGTGTGCTGCTTGGTTCTTTCCCTGGTCAAACAAATAAGAGCTGTAACAAGAGCTGCTGTAACAGTGGCTGTACACATTGCCGCAACAGTATAGAATCTGCAAATGAACCTTCCCCTCTAAACAATAGTGGCCGCACTCTTTCTAGCATAAGATCTAAGTAGAGCTTTTAAGCAAAGAAGTGTGTGGAGGTTTGGAGAGGTTGCATAGAAAACTACCAAGATTTGCTAAATTACGGGGAAATTGTGCTGTGGAGACAAGAAAATGGAAGGAATTACAAATAAGTAGTCTATATAAAAAGAAAGTTGAAGAATGTCTTTTATGTCCTTCAGGCAAATAAGTAGGTATTAGAAGGAACACTACTAATAATTTTCCTTTTCCATTAAGAATATACTTAGAAAATGTATTTGGAATGTGGTATAATTGATTTAGGAGAGCCATGTGAACTTGGTTACTCAGGTTGGTATACACCACAACAGTGGATATTGGAGGTTATGAAATGGCCTTCATAGTAAACATTGCAAATATGATAGCCATTCATTTCTCTACCATTGCTGGCAGGCAAGATATATGGACAAGTTCTCGTTCACATCTCTAATTCCATAATGTCTTTTATATTTGTTTATATCACTGTTGGAAAACTGTTACCGAAAATCTGGTTTCACTATTTGTCCTTTTTTTTTTTTTTTTGTCTGTAATGCAGTAAGGTACATTATTTTTGTTTTTTGCTGATTTGCCATCTGCTTTGAGCTTAAATGAATTGCAGCGTCATTGGAGCTATATTGTGCATGCACTAAGTGTTTTTATACAATCTGGTGGTTGTGGGTTTTAATGACCTGTCTCTCTTGTCTCATGGTCAGTTAATGGAACTCCCAGCAGCCAACTTTCCACTCCTAAATCCACGAAATCCTCCAGTTCCTCTCCAACTAGCCCAGGAAGTTTCAGAGGATTAAAGGTATGGATATAAGATATGTGGCATGTTTGTGTCGTTTTTGTTATTTTGAGTTGCATAGTTTAGCGGTTTAATTTGTTAATTAAAAACGAAAGAGTTTGAGATTTGAAGCCAGGCAAACTTGGCTTTGAATCCTGTGTCGGGTGGTAATTTTGTCCAGCTCACTGAACTCCCCTGAGCTGAAGTGTCCTTGTCTCTACAATGGGAAGACAGGATTGTGGTTATGACTGGACATAATGTGGCAAAGTATAGTAACTAGTAGTTTTCCAATTATTATCAAAATGATTTGCAGTGTTAAAGCCTTGGAGAATGTAATGATTCTTTTAAAAACCTTATTTTGAATCATGTTTTTAATTTTGGTAATATAACTTTGTTAAAGTTATATTAACTTTATTAACTCTAAAATAGAGTGAAATACTAGTATAATGTTTATTCCCACAAGTGGTAAGAAGAAAAATATGTTCATTTTTGGTGAGGAACTTAGAAATAAATCTTAGGTGTTGGCTGTGATGTCCTAAAAATATAGAAAGTAACAACATGATTAGCAGTTGGTTTAATAGACATTTACCTAATAGAGGAATGATGAGCAAAACCAAATCTGCAAAATTTTGACAAATTTTATTTGAGTTAGTAGCTCCCAATAATTTATAAGAGAAAACTTGTCTGGTAATGTAGCAATAATTGGAATAAAATAATTAAAGATTGAAAGTTTCCTTTGTAGAAAGAATCAGATTGTATAGTTAATGTGTTCTGAGAATACTGACGTGTACATACCGGGTTTCGATCTGGTTCCGGCTCTGGCAGTTGAACACTAGGAGTAGAACACAGGGCGGCTTGGTTCACCAGATTTCAGGTCTCCATCTGCTTCTTGCACCAGGAGTCCAGCCTGGGCTGTGGTGGAGAGCACAGAACCTGACCACCAGACCAGGGCAGGTCTGCTGTCTGTCCTTGGGTCTTGGTGTACTCTTGTCTGAGAATGACAAGACACACCTGTAACAAAGCAAGCCAGAAGCAGAGTTTTATTGAGTAAAGGCAAGATACATTCACCACAGCCAGCCAGCAGACCCCCCAGTAGTACAGGAGGCCCCTGACTGTTAACTAAAGTTTCCATTTTGTATTGTCTGGGTTGGACCCTCCCCATCAGGTATGGCTTATTTGTCACCTTCATGGGCAGGAATTAGTTATATAACCTGAGCCTTATTAGACATTTGGATTTCCTGTGAGCCTCTCTGAAAGTTCGCGTGGGGGTAGGGTGGCAAAACTGCAATGCAGGTTTATGCTAACGACATGATAATTGGCCTGAGGTTACTTTTGGTCATCTTCCAGACCATGCTGTGCCTGCCCTGCTTGGCTTTTTTGGAATTTCTTCTTCCAGATTCCCGTCAGCTTTTGCGGTTAGCCTGCTGAGTTGTGATTGGCAGTGCCTTCTCCTCCCTTTGTGGTGGTTATCTGAAGCAGGGCACCTGTCCCCTCTTGTACCTGGGAGAGCCAGAGGCTCTCTACCTAATACACAGTGCCGTGTATATGTGTACATAAATTAACTTTAATTCCCTTAGTGTGTTTGATTGACATCAGATATATCATCATTAGGAATGCATTCCCCAAAGTTGGTTGGCTAAATGCTTCAAATATAGTCCAGTAGGTTTTCTCTACTTTAAGGATGTTGAAGAATATTTTCTGTTAGTGAACTGGTCAGTGCCCCACCACCCTTGCATGAGGAATGAGAACCTGCCAAGCCCAGCTTCTGTGTTTCCCCTGCTGGTTAGAGGGTTCCATTTTCCACCTGACTGAGGCTTGATTGTTCTGCCTTGAGAATGTTGTGTGTGCCTCAGTAAACTAGCATAGTCCTTATCTAAATGCTTGAGAACAAAAAGAGAAATTCTACCCAGAGGAGGACAGATTGTTTTTGTGCCTGCTTGTGTATATACCTTCGTAGCACTTGGGTTGTAGGGAGTGTGTAGCTCTCACCTGTCTCTAATTCTGGATGCTTCGAACACTTAATCAAAGGAACCAGGCATTTTTCTGAAGTTCTAAATTGGCTTAGGACAGTTCATAATATAATTTCAATGGAATTCTTAATTGTCAATTCCAGGAAAAGTTATATAGATTAAAAGTCTCCAATAAACTAATTATTTGTAGATTTTCTTTCCAAACTTATTTTCCCTGGAATAGATTGAAAGTACATTCGATCTATTGTTATTAAGACAAGTAACCTTCAAAAGAACTAAAATAAAAACAATTCAATTCTTTTCCAATTTTGGTTTCATAGTTTGTTGAAGAAAAGCCAGGGGCTCCTGGTGCTGGTTAATTGTGAACCTAAGGCAAGTCTCACATACTTTCCAGTGAGCCCCACACAAAGGCTGTTTCTCCCCCAGGTCCCTGCCCCAGGCAGGGCTGGGATCCTTGGCCTAGGGTTGCATGAGGGTATCGGGTGAGGCACCTCAGGCCCCGCTTATTCCGGGTCTTGGTCCTCTAAGCCCAAGATTGTCTTTTTCTGTTGTTGCCAATAGGTCAATTGGTGCTGCTTATTAGCATTGAGACTCCAGCTTCAGGACTGGGCAGCTAACCGTTTCAGGGAAATACATGCCATTGTTCTGTGCACACACCTACTCCTTCACACATCCTCACGCGAAGTTGCTCTCATTTGTGGAGGGAAGTCATGGAATTTTAAAAACATGCTAATCAATTGTATTATTGCTTGAGACGTTAGGTAAAATTGCTCCTATGCTAGGTATATGGTAATTATTATAATAACTCTAGCATTTGGCACACAGTATGCACTCAAGGATTGCTTATGGATACCAAGAGAGATATGAAGACAGATCATCTGTTGATTAAGGGAAGTATTGATTACTGATCAGGATTGAAGCTGAGATTGTAAGTAAGATAAAGGGCAGAGGTCTTTCTCTGACACCCTCCCCCCTCCACTATGCCTGAGCCCTGTACACTTTACTAATAGCTATGAGACCTCCTTTTTTTTTTTTATTTGTAAAATAAGGATGTTTGATTTTAAATGACCTCTAAAATGCTAGGTGTATAGTTCTTTTCTTTTGCCAGAAAATTTATCAAGAAGCTTGAGAGTCTCTTTCTTTTCTTTTCACTTTAAAGCTGATAAAGAATCACTGAATTTTATATTAAATATGAGTAGCTAAATGAGTCCCTGGCACACCGATTCTAGCGTTTAGGCCACAAGGGTCAAACTACTGCCTATTCTCATGGGTCATGCCCTGTGGAAATTTCATCTCATCACAGCTCCCAAAGTCTGTGGTATATATTGTCACTGGGTTAAAAACCAACCTTTTAAATAATAAAAGTTACTGTACTGTACCAAATACCCTAATTTTGATGTCATTATAAGACATCAAGTTATTTTTTTCTGTTCAGTGACATTACAAATGGAGAATTACGGATAATTACCGTGTGTTAGTGGTATGCTTTTCCCTTCCCCTTCATTTAAAATAGCTTATTAAGATCAATTAAGAGGGAATATCTGACAATGGAGGATTGTTTCTCATGGGCAGGAACTCTTTACCATTATTTATCCTAGTTAGATGCTTTCATGTCTTGGAGATAGATCATCTTTTTCCAAAGAATCAGAGAATTGACAAAAACAAGCGAACCAGCCAGGACAGCCTGTGTAGGAGTTGATACTGCTGTTTGCCAGGACACGGATTTGCGCATTGATGGTTTTTTACTGTGTGGGTTTTACTCACTGGAGAACTAAGCAGGCTTAAGTCAGAGTTAAGCAGAATTTGGTGTTCTGTCACAGTTCTTCCCCCATTCGTGCCCATTTCTGGAACTTATTTTTATATTTTGTTGGGGACATTGAAAGAACTGAAAAGGGAAATAGGGTGATATATGTGATGTTTGATCTCTGATCACAGATTAGTGGCAATTTTGTTTTATTCTTGAAAAAGAAATGAGAAATACAAAAATACCCCTCCTCTCCACAAAAAGTGCTCGCAGTTTTCCTCATACCCTTGTGAGGAAGACAACTCTGCCCCCTTCATACAGTTGTAGAAGATCAAGTTCCTTGAGGGGCTGAATCAAAGCCAGTAACAGACGCAAAGCTTTCTTCAAATTGGCAATACATTTTTGCAGATAAGAGTGTGCAAAACAGGGTGGTGACCAAGTAATTAAGGTTTACTAAAAGACATTAGGGCAACTGAGAGTTAGTTATACCTCAATTATAATTTTTTGGTTTTGCCTCAGTAGCAGCAAAGAAAAAATTATTCCTGACACTTGTTAAAGATGGTAACGCAGACTTTATTCAAAGGTGGTGTGGTGGGGTGATGGCAATAGGTACAGGGACTATATAGGTATAGGGACTGCATAGGGGTCTTGGACTCAACTCCAACTCTGGCAAGGGCAAGTTGGGATTTATAACCAAGGAGTGTGGAGGGTAGGGGTCAGTGGATGACGATTACTAAGAGGAAACATCAATGATAAGGGGTTTCTGGCTAAATTGACTCGATGGGATTAGTGCTGAAGGCAGCCAGGTGCATCTGATATCAGGGTCAGGTACCAAGGATGGGGGAATCTTCCCTAACTTAGGATTCTTGCTCAAACGAGTCTGCAAGGACAGACAGGGAAACCCAAGTTTGGGCCTAGTCAAGCAGAGGACTCAGAAGAGCCGGACTAAGGGACAAAGAAGAGTGTTTGTCAGTAGTTACCGAAAACATAGAATGTGAAAACTGGTAGTAGTCTCAGATCTTTTAGTCTTCATTTCATAGAAGAAGAAACTGAGGTTTAGAGATGTGAAGTGACTTACTCAGGGTCTTAAGGGTTAGTTGGAGTCTGACCATTTGAGACTCTCTGTCTCTGGCCTCTGTGGTCTTACTTTGCCCCACCACTGGTGGGCCTGCTTCAAGGACTGCAGGTGCTCCAGGATGAACCTGGTGTGATTGTTACAGAAAAGTGGTGCTAACTGTTTTAGGAAGGGTAAGTGCAGGAGGATGGTTGGCTACTGAGGCCTTGGGTTTGGATTCACACACATGCTCTGC